GCGTAGAGGGTACTGAACCTCGTGGCCTCGGTTTGCGAATGCGGTCCTGAGCGGGACGGACGGTGATTCGGCACGAGGGCGTAGAGGGTACTGAACCTCGTTGCCTCGGTTAGCGAATGCGGTCCTGAGCTCTCCACAGCTTCCCAATGCTCTCTGAAACTCGGCCCTCCTCGGGTAGTCATGCCCGCTCGGCTCAACCTCCCTATGGGGTGTACACTGTTTCCTCGCGACCTCGGTTTGCGAATGCGGTCCTGAGCGGGACGGACGGTGATTCGGCACGAGGGCGTAGAGGGTACTGAACCTCGTGGCCTCGGTTTGCGAATGCGGTCCTGAGCTCTCCACAGCTTCCCAATGCTCTCTGAAGCTCGGCCCTCCTCGGGTAGTCATGCCCGCTCGGCTCAACCTCCCTATGGGGTGTACACTGTTTCCTCGCGCTTAACTTCTTATCAACTTCCTTCAGGATGCCGGTGGAAACACTCCTGACTCCCGACATAATGGTGGTACTCGGGGACCCATCCTTCCCTCCACACACCTCGGTTTGCGAATGCGGTCCTGAGCGGGACGGACGGTGATTCGGCACGAGGGCGTAGAGGGTACTGAACCTCGTGGCCTCGGTTTGCGAATGCGGTCCTGTGCTCTCCACAGCTTCCCAATGCTCTCCGAAACTCGGCCCTTCTCGGGTAGTCATGCCCGCTCGGCTCAACCTCCCTATGGGGTGTACACTGTTTCCTCGCGCTTAACTTCTTATCAACTTCCTTCAGGATGCCGGTGGAAACACTCCTGACTCCCGACATAATGGTGGTACTCGGGGACCCATCCTTCCCTCCACACTTCGGATATTTAGACATAATAAGTACCGGTTTAAGGTGTGGTAAATAACGTGGCGCCAGAGGCGCCATCTCGCGTCAATCCGAGAAAATACACTTATTCAGGTCTATGGATTAAAGCAAAAAAAAAAATACACTATTCATATATACAATATCGTGACAATACCTTCAGGGAATCATAAGTTATGGCCAGTTAAATACGCACAGGTTAAATAATTAGAACCCCAAAACTTTATGCAATATGACTGTCTAACTTTCGCACGATAAGCAAAATGTCACGCGAAGTCAGAATGAAATTAAAAATTAAACAGTAAAGACAGAGTGACTTCCATTACTGAAAAACATGTCTGATGTCTCCATTTTCGTCCTTCGCTGCGAGAGCCCGAGAGGCGTGAATCATCCTTTCTGGAACAGCCTACTTCGATACAAGGCTGCCCTGCGCACGCCAAGTTTCAACGCTCGGGTTTCTCGGCCCACGTGTGCTTAACTTTTAACTCCCTGCATATGTAAAATGGTATGCGGCATTCGATCGGGATTGCGCAAGGCTTTCAGAATATTCTTGAAACTTTTAATCGCATGGCCAGTAATTTGTAATTTTTCATGCTGCCACCAAATTTCGAGTGAACTTTTCCCCCACCACACATATAAAGGGTGATTCAAAAGTCACTCCATAGTTTGTTTTCTTTTTTATTTCCACTGATTTGGAACTTTTTTTGTGAAATTATCTCAAATGATTGTCAAGTGGTGGGAAACTTTTTAAACACCAAGCTTCCAGTTTCTGGGCTTGGAATGGCAGAAGGCTACTTGGTTTTGCAGCGGTGCAAAATGGTTATTTAGATGGACACGTTTAGTTCAGTGACCCTTGTGCAGTGTGAATTCTGAAAGCATTTCGAAATTTGCGATGCTCCTGATGCCAAAACAATACGAAACGCAAACAATAAATTTTTAGAAACTTGGGGACCCAGGAGTGTTTCATGAGCATGAGCGCGACACGCCGAAACTAAGTTCTTACTGTTCTTACTGCTAGAGTCATTGAGCCCTTTTTCCGACATGACGGACAAATGTCAATGGTGAAACTTATCATGAAGTGTTCCAGATGTTTGCTATTACTCAATTTGAGCCCTTTGATCTCGATGAGATCATCTTTCAACAGGCTGGGACTCCGCGTTGTTGCGCACTCAACGTGCGACGGTTCTTAACACTTCCCTCACCGATGGATTGGGAGACGCAGTCCAACTCTAGAGGTCACATGACCTGACCCCTACCGATTTTTTTTCTGAGTCTGTGTAAAATCACAATTTTATGCTATCAGTCATGAACATTTGGTAGATTTGGAAGAACGCATCAGGACTGCAATTCAAGGAATTTCCCTAAAGATGTATAAATTTGCAAATACGTTTGTTCGGAGGTGGCTTAAGTGTATCGAAACTGGTTTTGTGCATGTGGAAGTGTTGTGAGCATTTTGGTTTACGAACTCGCAGCAGGTGCCATGAAATCGATTAGTGTCAAGGTCGTATAATGAATATCCAGTGAAAACTTGCTAAATAATCAATTTTTAATTCGGGCGAAGTAACTTGCTGAGTGAGCGAGGAATGAAGAGAGCGGTGCCATTTCAGCATCAGTTTCCCTTTCTTTCCCCCTCAAGCTTCTTTGCAATTGTTGTGCGTCTAACTGTGAAGCCATGCTGAGATAAAATCTCTGAAGGCAATTTCAGCAAGTTGTTGGAGCGTTTGACCCATGTAGGATAATTGGGATGCTTAGCATGCATCAACTTATGTATGCACCACCCATTCAGTTCATGCATGAACTCACAATCAACCTAGAGCAAATAGCACTTCCAATTCCCAAAAATGGGGCACTGAACTCATCTTGTCCTGGGTGTATCAAGTACTAAGCTCCCACCACCTAACACACAGGATGTACTTACAAGTACTTGCACAGAAGTAATGGAGCAACTTTAACAAATGAGGTACATTGATTCGTTTCAACATGAATGCACCTTTTGAGGGAACAGATTGAAAGTACTGACAAATACATTTTAATAACAGCTTGCAGCAATAGCAAAAACTACTTCACTAATTCAAAAAACTGAGGTACCTGATTGACTTGTGTTTTTTCTGAGTCATGAGTATTTGTCATGATAGTGCTTAACATTTCTATCATAAAGTCCTGAATTTGCAAAAACAGATTTTGATTTGACTTGTTTCAGCTTACCCCATGAAACCCCTAGAAACAAAACGTTCAAGTTCAATTCAATTCAATACCTCTCTTAAAGACACCAAAGCTAGGTATTTTGCATCAAACTGCCAAAATGGTCATTTTATAGCAATTTTTGAGTTCTGTCAACATGGAAAAACAAAAATGAAACCACTACTGGTAGAATTAGTAAGATGCCAAAGATGCAAACAAAAATCTAAGGAATTAGAATGAAAAATGACCAAAGGTCTCATCTGTGGTACTGAGAATATTTTCACGATGTGTGCAGGTTGCAAGACAACACAAGTGCAGGCTACAAGATTTCCTTTCCATTATCTGCCCTGAGAGGACTTATTTCAAAAGTAGGATTTTTTCATTACTCAGCTATCCATCAGGTAGTTCTGCACCAAATTTTAACTTTCTATCTTTCTCTGTTTCGTTGGATCAAAAAAGATTAAGGAAAATGTGCCTCTTCCATAAAAAGGTGCCCTAAGGGGTGTTACCTAAAAAGTACTGTTTTTACTGAAATCAGTACTCTGGGAACTATATGCCCACCAAGTTTCAACTTTATATGTTAGCCCTTTTCGATGGTGAAAATATACCTTAGGAAAAAGCCGACCCACCCATCCCTGAGGGGATGCACCACAAAAGCTGAATTTTCCCTGAACTCAACATTATGTCAGTTATACATATGCCAAGTTTCACCTTTCTATTCCTGTACAATTTACTAGGACAAAAAATAATTCTTTGAAAACATCTCCCCCTAAAATGTGGTTCCCTCAGGGCATGTACCTTCCCAAGTCTTATTTTTTTTGAGAAATTACCACAAAGTAAATAATTACCCATGAAAACTTCCTTATTGTTGATATTGGTTCATTGTTCTGTATTCAATAATAAGGTTCCTTTAGAATTGCTCAAGTGTTGAAAAAATTTTAGTTCAATTTAAACTGCTTGTGTTATTCTTTCTTATTTTTCCATTAAAATAAATTGGACCTGAGAAGCCAGACAGCTTTCAAATAAATGGACTGTAAAGGGTTAATGGTCTCCACCAACTCCTAGGGTCTGTTCTTTAGTACTGTCTGGTATTGAGATATCAAATGTTCACACACAAATGCTTCCCATTTGAAAGATGACTTTTATATGGAAAGCACATGAAAAGGAAGATCCTAAATGCCCTAAGTGTTGACATTGAGTGTGGACAATTTATATTCAGTACTTAAAAAAATACTCTAAGCAAAGTATTTTGTTAGGCTCCCTAAGACTCACCAGAAATGGCACATCATTTGTGAATTTCAGAGTAGAACTAAGATATTTTTTTACATCCTCCATCCCAGCCATGAGATTGATGAATATTGAACTCCTTGACTAATACACCTTCATTTTACCCATCTCCTTGTGACATTTAAACCTCTTCTCCTTGTCCTTTTTTGACTATGAGACAAAATTTGCTCAGCACAATGTCTCAATATTTGAAATGAATAAATAAAGTAAATAAACATATGATACAATCCAGGGATCAATTACAGGATCATGTACACAATCACGAGTTTTACCAAAAATAACTATTGATATTAAATCTTAAATCTTAAATTTTTTTTTCATGTCCTGCTTTAGCATGCTATATTCTTGTTTTTTTGCATTATATTCAAATAACTTATGTTCATTAATTATCTTGACCTTTGCAAGCAGATTTTTTGCATAGTGGCTTCTGTGTGATATTCACTTTATGTCTCATATTTGAGTTTTTCTGATGAAAGCAGTGAAAGAAGATGGAAACAATGGGACATCAGACTGATTTCCTTATATGCATTATGCATCTTGAGCATGCACTTTACATGCATTATGCATCTCATGCAAGGGGCTCGTCAGCTCTATATTTTCAAGGAAAAAAAAAAGGACTGTAAAACAAGATGGAGAGAAAAAAACTTCATATTGGTGTATTATAGCATCACATATCACAAAGGTCAAGATTCACTTGAGACGCTGGATGATAAGTGCATTGAGGAGATTGGCTTCCTTCAAGGTCTGTCTCCCTTCTACCAGTTCCTTGCTGGGGAAACCACCGTACAGCCCAAACACTTGGGTTGAAAACTGTGGTCGAGCACTGGATAACCATCAGGTCAAGAGAAATTCATACTATCCAATGATACACTAGTAAGACAAAATTATGTGTTAATTGAATCATTCTCAAGGAAGGGACATACTTTTCAAAACAAGCACACACATGCATATACACACATACACATACACACACACATACTTCATCTGATATTAGTTGTAGAAATGCTGACAAATTAAACTGCACTTTCTTCAAATTGCACTTGTACTTCAGTGCGTAGGGGAGACTGGGGTACAGGTACAGTGGGACATTGCACCCCAGTACTGTTTTGTTGCCTCAAACTATCTGATTGGAAAGAAAGTTCTCGGAATTTCATGAACAATTATTACAACCCAGTTTATTTAAAAGCAAAATCATCTCAATCATGAATGTAATCACCATTGGCCTCTATCACTTCACGCCAACGTTTATGCAAACTATGGATGCCATTCCAATAGAACTCTGGCGGCTGCGCTACGAAAAAGTTGGCCAAATCGGTTTTCAGGTCGTCT